AGAGAGAGAGAGAGAGAGAGAGAGAGAGAGAGAGAGAGAGAGAGAGAGAGAGAGATTATGCATTACACTGTAATCTAATATCCTCTTCAAATCACTGCGGAATCAATTATTATATCACACGTCTCCAACTCAAAACACTTATATGAGTTACGTACACATTGTCACATACATCAATCGAGTGTCACGCCAACCCGAACTTAGCCTCTGCACATATCTACACATTAATTGGATGTTTTTTCTTTACTTCTCTTGTCGACCGTCTTGCAGGTCGACCTTCGTCATCCCCTTGCCGTTGTTCATCGACTTTTGCCCTTGCATCGTCATTGTCGCCGCGCCCCTCCACAACTTCGTCTATCCCTTCATCACTTAACGAAATGCAATTGATCACCGACTTCGACATGGTTGGTCCCTCCACCTTCCTCGTCCTCTCCTTCTCTGTCTCATCTAGCAGTTTTATCATCTCATCGGAATCATTTTGCACCTCACACGCACGTTGTGCATACCCACCTTGTTGCATTTCATTTGCAACAGCCCCACTCCCGGAAGGAGTGGGGCTCGCCATGAGCGATGCACACTCGTTTCCCGCCTGCGTTATTAGAGGAGGTCCGTACGATGTAACGTTCCATGCCTCTTTGTCGACATTCCGTGGAAGCTCGGTCGCCTCCATTATCTTGCTGGCTGTCTGACTCATCGCTTCCCCAACACTCTCTGCAAACTGCGTGTTCGACTCCCCCTCAATCTGTGAGCATCCCAACCGGATTGTCTCAACGCCATAGCCAGCTTGGGGAAGATCGATCTTCCAGTTGATGCTCTTGTATGACCGACTTGACTCCAAGTCATAGAATCCGTGTTTATATTCCAGTCGGTTCTTGGAGTGAAGACATTCAAATAGCAATCGAGCCTTTTCCTCAATAGCTGCTTTGTCTGCTCCGTCATTTTCTTTCCTAACACGAAATATGATTTCGCTCTTCACCAATTTCAGCCACGAGGCTTCATCCAGTCTGGCTCTGACTTTCCATCCTTTTGTTAGATGGACTGCCATCATCCACTTTCCCTGTACAATGCATGGCTCGAATAGGTCCGTATGCCACAAAATGTGATGCTTCCACTTGTCAGACGTCGTTTTTGGCACCTTGTCTGAATGAAGTACGGCTGTTCACTAGCCTGCGCAATGCTATCAGGGATATCATCACCGGGCATCAGCTTCGGGAGAGCATTTGGAACCGCAAAGTCATCCTCGTCATCGTCTGGTCGCATTTCGTTGACCGGGTTTCCTCGAGATGGAGGCGTTTTCTGGAACCCTTGACGATTGCCATGAATCAGTACATTCTCAAGTGCTTGAATTGACGTAAGCAAATCCGTTTGCATGTGTTCGATGGAACTCGCCCTGTCGGTCACGTCACGCGTTGGACTGCTCGCACCCGCCGATTTTGTGCGAACTTCTTCTTCCTGGAGGTTTGGCGCGTTGCATGCAGGCACGCTTTCCATTCCCTCTCGCATACGTTTCACTCGCTCCTCGATTTCGAGGTCTGCGGTTTCAGTCTCCTCATCGCTCTCGATCGGATTCCACGCATCATATTCTTTGGCAATCTTGCTGTATCCATCGTACGTCAGCCTGATTTCCTCCGAACTTCATTCGTTCGCATCTTGCAACGAACATCGCAAACGACCCTCCTTGCGCTTTATGGTAGCCACCATACGCTTCCTGTGCCATCGCTTTGCAAACTATGCAGTCATGCTCGAATGGCGTCTTGGGTTGGTCTTGGAACAAATATTCCCACATCTTGTTTCTCTTCTTGCCCAGCTTATGGTACATGTCCCTGTCAGGACGATGCGTAGTCTTCTGTCTCTCAACGGTGCATTCGTTTCTCGCATCCTTCTCGATAATTTCGATGACCTTCGTCAAGTATGAAATGTCTTTTGACGACGAGTTGCATGCGAAAACATGATGGCCAGCGCGCAGGAGCTCCCACACAAGTCCGACATGCGACTTTCCAATAAGAATCACCCCTTGGTCCTCGTGCAGAAACGAACTGCACATTTTCTGCGACCGTTTAGGATGTCGTTCCCACCGCCCATACACCTCTCGTTCGTTTCCTTCCTCGCCACCGTACTTTGCTGTGCATCTCTTGAATTGCTCCTCATCAACGTTCAGCTCCACTATCTCTGCCTCCGATTTAGGAGCCCTCGTTACCTTCCTGAGGTCGCCCCCCTCAGCATGCAGGACGACCGCCATCGTGTCCTTATAATCGACTTGCCAGTTTBCATACTTGCTGACAGTCGTTCCGAACGTGAGATAACGCTTCCAAGTCCCGAGTAGCACCTCTGCATCGTCCCAGTTGTAAAGTTGCTTCATGACGGTCTTGTGCTGTTTTTGCGGAGCAAATACAAGCAGAATCCAATTATTACTGCACAATTTCGTCATCATTTTGCGCAGAGCATCGATATCGGTTGGCGACCATGCAAGGCAGTCCTTCGAGTTGGCGAAATCCAGGATGGCCGCCTTGCAATCCAAGTTCGTGGCCGCAGTCACAATTTCGTCGCCTGCAGGCAGCAACTCCTTCGGTTGCATGTTGACCGGTAGCAATGTCGACCGTCGCTGTTTCTTCTCCCAGCTAAGATTAAGGGGAGCGTTCTTCAACCGCCGCAACTCTGCTGTCAACAAGTCCACTCTCCCAATCGCATGGTACACGAAGTACTTGAAGTGGAAAGGTGCGTCCCTATACAACGCCGCGGTGGCCTTCAGGCCAGCTCCTTTCAGGCCTTTTTCCTCTTGCTCTCCGCCGAGTCTTTTAGGAACCCTCCTGACATATTCCAAAGGGATCCTATCCCTCTCCTCATCCCATTCGGTTGCCTTCACACCGAACCTTTTCTCCAACCCTTCGTACTCGATGAAGTTCCCGTCCTTCTATTCTTTCCCCTCTTTGTTTTCCGATTTGAAGACGATGTAGTTGAACAGACGCATCATGTATCTTTCCCACTGCATGATGTCGAGGAGGTTGCTCATGTTCAACTTCCCTGGAGGAACCAGTCGGGTAATGGCAATGACCTTCTTATCTATCACCGCAATGCAATTTCCTTCTCTCGCCTTGTCATATCTCCAAAACATTTGAAGTTTAATGGAATGAGATCTTTGAAAGACACGGTAGCGTTTGGTCCCCCGTTCTTAGCCGCTATGCAATGGAACAGCTCCTTCTTCCCCTGCACCTCTTCAGTGTATTGGCCTGGCACCCGGCCTTCCTCCTTTCCGGGCAAGTCCTTTGGGCATTTGTTGTCGTGCAGCGGCAACTCCCCCGCCTCATACTTCTAAAAAAACTCCTTAACCACCGGGTCCTTGCATGTGGCGACATTCATGTACCCCCTCATTCTGTTCGTCCAGTCTTGCTGCCACTTCCCAGAGATACACTCGGTCCACAATGCTTTCTCACACGACTTTCCCATACACGACCTCAAAAATTCCCTCCATGTTTTCTGGTGCTCCAAGCCTTTGGGATCCCCTTTGGACACGTTCCCCATATGCCCGATCCGTTTCTTGTTGTCCCAAAATCCTCTGATGTCCACGCAGGCTTGGTGGAACAATGGCAACATAGCACGGTCACCTCGCGTGTTGTCATATGTGGAAACATAATGGTACCCGTTCGTATGGTCATCTTCAAAATAAATGATCCGTACACGATCATAATTCCGAAAGCCGAACACCTCCACCGCTGCAGAGTTCTTCGCCACCGCTCTTTTCATAGCTTCGGAAGAATGTTGACCGGCAACCGGGTAATAGAAAAACTCATCTGCCCATTCGGGGTAGAAATCCTATGGAAGGACGCGGGTTCCTTGTTCGTCCGCGTCCTTTGATGGATTAATCGGAGCCAGCACCAACTCCAGTGGATCCCACGGAGCCGGATCATCCTCGGACCGTGGGCGAGTTGGTGCTTCGATTGCCGCTTCAATGCCTGCGACGATGGCCGGGTTCAGCGCTCGCTGGTTGAAGGTGATCTCTCCCACCGGAATCGGAAGAATCTGCATGACGTCAATGACCACCCCAGGCGGGTCCTTTCTCTTTTTGCCGTCCTCGTCGTACTTGAGGAAGAAGCACTGCGTCATGTTCATCGCTTTGGGTTTCTTCATCTCCAGTTCGTTGTCGTTAGGGATGGAGATTAAACGAGGGGTCACCCCTTCAGCATCGTCGCTCGAGTCATACGATTTCGGGTGCCTCTACGGCCGCACACGCTTCCTGGGTTGCGACGTTTTGCGAACCCGAGCTTTGGATTTGGATTCTACATCGGCTTCGCCAGGTGTACCAGCAGCTGCATCCAAGGCGAGCCAAGCGTCCTCCAAAGCTTTTCTTCGAGCCTGCTTCTTAGGCGCAGCTCGCTTTGGCGATGATTTCGCTGTGCGTTTTCCCCTCCCCTTCGAAGTAAGCTCCGCGGAAACATCGACATCATGTCCTTCGTCTTTCATTTCCTCGTCTTCCATTTCCTCATCTTCCATCTCCTGGTCTTCCATCTCCGAACCACCCRCATTACCACCGAGCACCCCGCCGCTTGCCGCTGCCTTTTCGCAATCCATGTGGTCCTGCCCACCACCACATTCTCCTTCATTCTCGTCGTCTTCTCCATCGCCCCTCGCCCGGGCTTCGTCACCTCTACTATCCTCCCGCCCCGCATTCACATCGCCAGAGCCTTCGCCCTGGGTGAACCTTCGCGTGGCTAATGACTGGGATTGCAATCGGCAAATCTGTTTATAGTCCTCCGTCTTCTCGCTTGACTCCTCGTCCATTTGACGTTGAGAGGTGTCCCGCGAGCGCGAGCTGCTACCGGCACGTGAGCTTCCCGGAAGACCGGAAGGTGGTTTGGCGAGCACCTTCTTCTTCGGAACGTTTCCTGATAACCCACCGCTCGAACGCCTCTGGTAAGTAATGAGTTTCTCCTTCGCGGACACAGATGGTTGCGGAGTCAAGACATCCTGCCGCCGATCGCTAGAGCACGCTGACAAGCCTGCGAGACTTTCTCCTGGAGCGTCGAACGGCACAAGAGGCAAGGAGAGCTGGTAACCAGCAGAGACCGTCGGGTATTGACCACTTCTCCTATACCCATTGGTCTTGGTGAGGAATTCAATGGGTAAGAGCATCCTCGAAGCATTCCCGTCCAGATTGCTGCTGAAGGCTTTCATACCGAATGCGTTCTGACCATACCCCTTGAACAGAGCAATGCCAAGCCTGACCTTGTGGTCGGTCTTGACCCAGTTCGTACCCTGCTCATCGTACACCGAAGTGAGGAAGAATTTCCTCAAATCTCGGTCGTCGACCTTACCCTTGTCCGCCGTGGCCTTGTCAACTTCAGACCTGATGATGCCACCACAACAGTACCAGGTCGTCCCTTCGTTCTCCGTCAAGAATACAACAGCACCGCACCCGGGCTCGCCGGGCACTCCGACCCAGTCGAGAGCCCACAGCTTGTCGCGGTACAGTTTTGACCTGTTGTTGTACCTCTTATCCGCATCTTCAGGACACCTACGACCTTTCGCTGGAGGAGATATCAAAAAAAAAAAGAACGAGGGATGCATCAATGACACCCATCTCTATCTCCCACATCACGAGATGGAAAAAACCAAAATACAAAAGCAATTCCACGCCACATGCCGACGACAGACCTATCTCTACCTCACACTATGGGCAGCAACCGCATGTGTTGACCCTGGGGATCGCCGGGGTCCTGCGTTTGCTAAACGCAGGACCCCCGAATGCCGACCGACACATCGGGGGGGGGGGGGGGG